CACTGGATTGCTAGATTGTACTGATGAGTGGTATGTTAATATGGATCGTGGTTTATATAATCTTGCCGTTTTTCTCGATTTAAAAAAGCGCATTTGACACGGTAAACCACGACATTTTACTGGCTAAACTAGAGTTATATGGTATTAACAATACGCCTCTTATGCTTTTCAAATGAAATCTTACTTATCAGATCGATCTCAGCAATGTCAAGTAAATGGGGAACTTTCCACATTAAAATATCTAAAATATGGAGTTCCTTAGGGTTCAATTTTGAGTCCACTTCTGTTTTTAATTTATATCAATGATTTACCGAACTGTTTACAACACTCTACAGCACGTATGTTCGCCGACGATACTAACATTACAGTGTCCGGTAAATCAATTAAGGAAGCTGAGGTGGCCGTTAATACTGATCTCAATAATATCAGAGAATGGCTTCTATCAAACAGGCTTTCTCTTAACCTTGTCAAAACGGAATATTTTTTGATTGGATCACGCCACAATATTCACGTTGGAAGAAAAACCGCGTGTTTTTATTGGGGATGAACCAATTAAAGGGGTTCAAGTTACAAAAACTCTTGGAGTCAAAATTGATCAATTTTTAACTTGGGACAGTCATATTGACCAAATTTAAAAAAAAATATCTTCTGGAATAAGTGCCATGAAAAAGATAAAGGATTTCACTAATTCTGATACTTTGAAGTCAGTCTATTATGGTCTTGTCCAACCCCATTTCGACTACTGTTGTGAAGTTTGGAATTCCATTAATAGAGCCCAGTCTGAACGACTACAAAAACTTCACAACAGATGTGCTAGAATTATAATGAACTTTAAAGATGAGCCTGGGCAATCTCAACTGGCCCTCGATCCATTAGGGTGGATAAGCTTGGAAGAAAGGCGAAAACATATTATGGCCAGTCTTATGTTTAAGGTTGTCAATAATTTGGCACCATCGAGGCTCTCATCAATGTTCCAGAATTCTAACCATATCCACAGTTACAATTTACGAGGTTCAAATTCGTCTCTCTTTCTGCCACGACCAAATACCGAGTATGGCAGAAAATGTTTTCGATATAGTGGGGTTGAAATCTGGAATAGCATTCCTGAACAAGTAAGAAACAGCGAGTCTTTAAATTCTTTCAATAGAAATATTTCCTCTGTTAGTCTGACGAATTAGCTATTTGACTTTTGTACACCATTTGTTTTGTAATATGTATTTGTATTCGTAGTTCTTAATATTTCTAGTGATTTTGTATATTTTTGTTACATAATTTATCTACGCCCCACTTGGAAAGCAGTTCTGGTTGACGTGGCCAGCGTAGTCAAATAAAGTTTTATCTTATCTTATCTTATCTTATCAAATAAAGTTTTTATCTTATCTTAATAATAACATTCATGCAAGAGAATCGGTTTGCACCTAAATAAATTTGACACATGTGTAAAGGCAAAAATCTAGTTCGTTATCTCAACTCTATATAAGTATAATTGATACTATGAGTGAGTCTGTCTCAAAGCACAGTGTACATTCCCAGTTTGACGCCGGTATAGTGATATAAGCAAAAACAACTAATGCATTTCCCAGAGAGGGAATAAATATAACAAATGTAACTATGTTCATTCGAAATTCGATTAATGGTAATGCCGATGCACTGTGGTGAATAAGAGTATAAACTGCTGTTGTTTAGGGTGTAACCCTAAGGCAGATTTAAAGGTAAAGGGCATATTGTAAACACTGGAATGGACTATGGCCCCTAAGAGCGGGCTGCACTCAATGAATTGATGGAATATATCTCTCAGAAAGGGTGTCTCACTGAACATCAGAGTGGAATGACTATACAGACTATACTGGAGCAGACTATACTGGAATGCGAGTGTGAAAACATGACCATCTCAACTCTTAAAATAACTGACTACCGCCATACGGCTTGACCGCAATTTGCCTATATATATATATATATGTTATTTCAGAGATTAAATTTCAATAATAATAATTTATTAACTAATAAAGTACAGGATCTAAAGCCTTGATAGCGCTCAGGCAATGATTGCGGTTTCGTCGAACAGGAACTGTTGCATGGAACGCATCAAAATATTTGCTTGTGTTTTCAGGGTCGAAAATGTATACGATTCCGCCCACAAACTCTAAGAAGGCCTCTCACAAAACGATTTTTATTCCTGATTATACTTAACATTCCGTAGGTGTATATTAAAGATACATGCCTTTTGAACTTCAGATAGGTGCTACTTGTGAGATATGTTAAGTAAAATATGAAGAAAATTTCAACTTGTCCCTATATTGGAAACATGGTTTCGTGAAATTCAAAAAATTTGTATCAAACATGCATATAAAGAAATTCTCTGAAAAGTTATAAATCTCGTAATTCGGTCTTTCTTTATAGCTGTTTGTTTATATTCCCGTGTTCGCTGGTCAACGACACGAATAATATGAGGTTAAAATTAGTTTATTTTCCGGTAAACTCTCTTAGCTTATTCACAGGAAGAAATACAATGCTGTGAATATACAAGCGATCCTTTAGTTGTAATATGATAAAAACGTCGTTAATACATTGGCATTTTTAATTAAACAAAGTTCGAAACAAAGTAGCAATTTGCTGTAAAGATGACTCCAAGGTGTGTGTACTGCTGAACTGTTTCTATTTCTTCATCATATACTTTAACGGAAGCTGAAATCAGGTTTCTGAATTTTCTTCCACTTCCAATAACCATAGCTTTAGTTTTCTTTATATTTAGTGTCAGTTTATGTGCCTTTAGCCAATCACCAATTTTCAGAAGATCAGCATTAAGCTTTTCCTCCAAATCTTTAATGGAAGTGGAGTAGTAATACAATATGGCATCATTGGCATATAAAGAGATATTTGAGTGTTCCAATACGTTGGCTAATTCATTGATGTATATTATGAACAGTAACGGTCCAAGGATACTGCCTTGTGGGACATCAATTTAACATGTGAGAGGATCAGACAGTTCAGAGTCGCAAGAAGTTTGCATTTGTCGATGGCTTAAATAGGATTTAAACCATGACAAATCATCGGAACATACTCTAACCGCACTCAGCTTGCTAAGAAGGATCTTATGGTTGACTGTATCGAACGCCTTCGATAAATCTAAGAAAACAGTTCCACACAAATTACCATTTTTCATTGAGCTCAGAATATCGTCTGCAAAGCTAGATAGAGCAGTATTAGTACCACGCTTGGAACGAAAACCAAATTAGTGTTTTGTCAACAAATTATTTTCATTTAAGTATTGATACAGTTGGTTATGGACTGCTCTTTCAAGTATCTTGCTCAAAGTCGGTAATATACAAATATACATACATATATACATACATAAATATATACATATATATATATATATATATATATATATATATATATATATATATATATATATATATATATATATATATATATATATATATATATATATATATATATATATATATTATACCTCACAATGAGCTTGTCCAATCAGAGAACTAAATTTGTACCACATGACCATGGTATTTTTCAGCGAATACTATGACCTAGGCAATTTGAACCCTGGGTGTTTTACCCGGGGCCATGGTATTCGACTTCGAATACCACGCTTGAGCGGGAAATTCGACTTTTTTAAATGTAAAGTTATCAAAAGTTGTGTTTTGAAATTAAAAGTTAATTGAATGGTATTTGTTTTCTACTTATTTTTGAAAGGTTCGGTATAATATACCATTTATAGACCTTTCACTCGGGGTATTCCACAAAAAATTACCCTGCGGGATGAAATATTCCTCGGGCTTCGCCCTCGGAATATTTCATCCCTCAGGGTAATTTTTTGTGGAATACCCCTCGTTTCAGGTCTATAACTGATATATATATATATATATATATATATATATATATATATATATATATATATATATATATATATATATATATATATATATATATACATATATATATATATATGTATATATATATATATATATATATATATATATAATCAATGTATATAATCAATTTGTCTACAGGACCTTTCTGAAAATCACGCTGGTGAGAAAGTTTCCTGTCAATAAAGATTATGATTATTATATTATATTATATTATTATTATTAGCAGTATAGTGGGAGTCGGCCCATAACCTGTTGATCATGACCTTGCTCGTCGCTTTCAGCTCAAGGCCAAAGGGGACACTTGAACGATCAATATGAACAGGAAACTTACATAAGCACCTCTATGTCCTGTTTAGGTCGTGACATATAGTGCTATATATAGGCAATGTGTTTTAATGCACTTGGCAGCAGCTTCCCTGATTTTCACCAAGTTTTTCGCAGAAGTTATAGAAAGTTACCTTGTTCATGATAATACAAATGTCTTACATTTGGGGCCCCCCTATATAACTAGGGGTACGTGGCGATTTGCTACACCATCTGGGCGGCCTTGTTCTGAAGAGAAATCACCGGTTTTTAAACAAAAGGACCATGCTGAGAAATATATGCCAGACATGCACAGAGTAGCCAATATCGAACGAGGAACTAGCAAGCATGCAATTTCCAGTTCTATATACTAGAGCCTTGCCACTTCTACTGTATTGGTTTCTGTTTCTGTGTTACTGCCGCAACAGGCGGTCAATTGATAAATTATGAGGAATACGGGGTGTCTTGAAAAAGACTCTAAGACTAAAAGAAAACGCCCTCACACACTAAACGCCTCTGCTGTATATATAATTATATATTATATATAGCAGAGGCGTTTCGTTATGGCATCTTAATTGCTAAATCCATATGCCCTTTATCAATTTCTTTTACATCTGCCCAGTACCATCTTCACGAGAGGAGTTCTTATTGGTCAATTATATAAAGCTGGTATATATTGTCGTATATGTTGTGCGTAGGATGATTCCATTTGTCATTAGTACTGTTTTCCAAGCGAGTTAATAGTTTGATTCTGAATTGTCTTTCAGCAACGAAAGTCACCAGTCAGATTTCTTGAACGAAACAATGGGGAAGACAGCATATGATGCCTGGAGATACTCTTACGCTTCAGTTCTAGCATTTGGGACTCTCGGCAATATTCTTGTAATCATTTCCATACTAAGACAAAAGAGAGTATTGAAGAACAACTACTACTTTCTTGTTCTACATCTTGCCATATCTGATCTGGGAGCACTAATCATTTTCCTTTGTGATGTCAAAAAAGGAATTGTTAAAGTTTCCACCTGGTATTGTGGTTTCTCTGCTACATCTTATCTCTTTGAAGTCGCAGGAATAGGTATGATGTTGGTCATTTCAGTCCTTCGTTATCGCGCTACTGTACATCCCTTAAAACCTGCCATCAGTCGACGCAAATTGAAAGTCGTGTGTGGTTTGGTGTACCTTTGTGGCTTGATTGCAGGTTATGGAGCATATGTGCCGGAATGCTTTTTGCTGAACGACCCCTATTGGAAATTTCGTAATGCATGCTCAATATTCTTCTTTAACGTCCCAACAATATTTATGGCTGTAGCTTATTATAAAATAAGTCGCGCACTGATCAAACAAAACAGATACATGAAAAGCATATATTCAAATCCAGTGACACGAAGTGCGCCTGGCTCTTCCTTCAATATCCTGAGATTTGTACAAAATCGACGAACTTTCCTTGTTTGTCTCATTACCATTCTATGTTTTGGAGTTGGAAATATTCCTATGTCTGTGAATTTGCTTTTTATCCTCGCTGAAGAACATCATCAAGATATGAAAAAATTTTGGATTTACTATTTGGCATCTGTTCTGAGAGTTGCTGGTACGCATTCAGTAAATCCTCTCATATATGGAGTATTGGACAAAAAATTGCTCACCTTTTGGAAACTTTGTCGCAAGAAGAAACCGAGAACACAGGAAAATTAGACAGTTCCTGTAGCAAGCTGGACAAACAAGACATATTCATAGATTTTTAGCCTCCTAGATTGATGATTGTTCTTCCAGCATGAGACTTCTATTTTCTTCACTTTGTATTATACGCACGAACAGAACTTATAATAATGGATGTTTCTCATGACTAGTGAAGAGATTTAGATTTAGAACTAGAAATACATGCATGCAACAACCCCGCGTCCACATTTTCCAAAATTGTGCCAATAACGCCAACACGGAACGCAGGCTCGCGTTGCTCGCGTCATGTTAGCCATGGTAACACGATAATTGCTTTCTTAGTTTTTTGTTCAAAACGGCAAAAGTAAATTAATGTTTTACACTTTTAACCACAGAACTATGGAGTACTAATCGGGTACTAACTCGCCCCGGCTATTTACACCCGGGGAAACGAAAGCATTAGCGACGCCTAAAGTTCATCAATGATCGCGGGCGCTCACCAACGGTGTTGAGTGGGTGGTCATCACTGATCTCAAAATATGGCTGTTTGAAGGAGTGAAGAAGGCAAAAAATATAAAAAAAATACATGTAAGAAAGCTTGGAAAATCGTTTCACATAACAAATTGTACAACTTTTTTACAATTTTAGTTAAACGTAAACATTGATAAGAATTGATATTGTATGATAAATCCTAAAGTATACAGCAAGTTTGTTTCAATTGTTACCTCCGCCAGGAGTTTATGTAATCATCTGGGTTTGTATGTGTGTATCATGTGTGTGTGTGTGTGTGTGTGTGTGTGTGTGTGTGTGTGTGTGTGTGTATGTGTGCATGCATGTATGTATGTATATATGTATGTATGTATGTAACCTTATTTAAAATCTAATCGACGCTACCCTCATCAACATTCAGATTTATGATCTCCCTCGATGAGCTTTAACTCTTGGAGAAAATGATTCTAAATATGTTTAAATAAAAAAAACATTCAGTTGGTTTCCATAAAAAAATCCTACTCAAAAAAATAAAAAATCCTGTCATTATCATATCAAAAATGTTTGTGGTCAGCGGTTCGGATTGTAAACTGTTGAAGAGACGACAATACTAGCTTCATGCAAATTTGTTTTATAGTAAATTACTTCAGCGAGAATACTGTTGCTGCCTTTCCTGTCGTACCAACTAAACAAGAGCCTGAGGTTTTCGCGTGTTTTTGAATTATCTCTTTTACATTACTTTTATTCATGTCTTTTAACCGAGTGCAGGTAAGTGTGTCTTTCAGACAATGGTCAAATATATTTCTTGCCAGTCAAGATGAACAGCAACATTGCTTTTTCGCCGATCAAAAACAATGTCCTGCCCATCATTGATCGGTATAATCATCCGTTATTTCGAGCCCTGTGTTCGTAATCGTACTGTACCCTTATAACACATGGCTTACTGACAATGGAAGAGAGGACTATAGTATAGATAAAAACTGCATGTAATATCTGATGATCAAACCGAAAACGACCATTTTCATCTGTATAGCGTGTGAGACGTTACTGTCTAACGCCTATATTCTAAAAGCCCATTCACACTAAAATGGTGCGGAGGTTCAATCTGAGCTTCCCTTGAGTGTCAGTGCAGCTTTTGAATAGCTAGAGGGGTAAAATGTAATCTCAATTGCTTTCATGCACACTGTCAACTCAGTTCCTTGTGGGAGGAAACCGGAGCACTCGGAGAAAACCCACGACTTTCGGCAGAGCGTTGACTGACTTTTTTCACTGGAGTCCGTACATTCACGACCACTGACACAAAGCCAGGGGAAAGGCGCTCGTTCTGACGACCACTCCACCAAAGCCCCAATTACTATATCTATATGATCTATATAATTATAACCCAATCATCGTCACATTCAACTGCTATATACATCTTTGACGATAAAAGAACGGTTTATGAGAGCAGTTGTTCTTCTGTTTTGTAAAATTTGTTTCGCACGGTAAAAAACGTCAACAATATTAAAAACAGCTATATGTCAGAATCGTTTAAGCTGTTGGAACAATTTTTGCGGATGTTGTTTCAAATGAAATTAGACAGTTATGTGGAGAAAACGGTTGCAAGATGGACGAAGGATGGAAAACATTTGGTTTGGAAGCAATTGAACGTGTCAGGGATAGCAATTTGATTTGGAGCTCAAAGAAACGAACAACTAGGAACGAGGGTGTTAAAAATGAATTGGGATAGCGACGTTTGTGGGATAGCGACGTTTGTTTCCTGCTCGTGGGAGGAAACCAGAGCACCCGGAAAAAACCCACGACTTTCGACAGAGCGTTGACTGACTATTTTCACATGAGTCCGCACTCCGTAGCGAGAACCGAACCCACGAACTTAGTCGTCAGAGGAAGCGCCTTTCACCTCTACGTCACCGAAGCTTTTTAAAACAGCTTACAGTTTTAACACTTAAAATAAGGACTGAAAGACTCTTAGTACATTAATATTGTGACTGGATACGATCAGGCATTTGCCCTAAAGTATATATATATATATATATATATATATATATATATATATATATATATATATATATATATATATATATATATATATATATATATATATATATATATATATATGTATATATATATATATTTATCGCTTCCCTGCATATATTAAACCACCATCGGCAAACTGTTTGTCAGGCTGAGCTCGGTTTTCTGTGCTGCCGAATACTACAAAACCAGTCAAAGCCTTTATGGCATAATTATGGCTTATGTGCCCGATTGTTGGCACATAGCCGGTTTATTATTTTAATCGATTTTTAATAATTAACAAGAAAAATTATTAATTAATAACTATATAACATTTAGCACAGAAAAGGTGGGGGCATTACTAACGCCCACTACACATAACGTATCTATATAAGTTCAACATATCGCGTCCAACAACGGGGAGGAGGGTGGGTAATTCTCTTCCATCCAATTTCTTGATGTGAACTGCAGCCCATATGGAATAGGAAAGGAAAGATGGTCCGCTTCACCACTGATAAATACCGAAATTTCCAGTCACGTGACTACACTTAGATTAACTTGCGCGCGCAACTAACTTATTTCGCATAATTAATTTCAACTATAAATTATTCCGGGAAGCAATAAAAACTCTTATCGCTGTAGCAATAAGTTCCTATATATATATATATATATATATATATATATATAAAATTTGGTTTTGTTGGTTATAAAAAACTTTTGGCAAAGTGCTCAATGGAAAACCAGAGCATATTTGAATTAAGGTACAACAAATCAACAAAATCCACTAGGCATCTTTATTACTAAATAGTTTCGTACCACAGTATGTGGCACTCTTCAGATAAATTGACCTAAAGGTCAATTTATCTTTAGGTCAATTTATCTGAAGAGTGTCACATACTGTGGTACGAAACTATTTAGTAATAAAGATGCCTAGTGGATTTTGTTGATTTGTTGCACCTTAATTTATATATACATATATACATATATATATATATATATATATATATATATATATATATATATATATATATATATATATATATATATATATAAAAAATATATATATATATATATATATATATATATATATATATGCTCACTGCTTGCAGTTTGAGCACTCTGGCAATGGTTTGATGTCCCACATTCGTGAGACATCAAAGGTAACTATTTATAGTGGTTACTTTCATCCTGCTCATCAGCACTACACTGATGAGGCCCATAAGGCCGAAACGGTACCGTCTGTAGTTAGATATCGCTCTATGGCCTTTGGGTCATATTGAGCGCTCTACAGGATGAGCCATGCCGCTTACGCATTGCGCACGCTCACTGCTTGCAGTTTGAGCGCTCTGGCATGGTTTTGATGTCCCACAATCGTGAGGCATCAAAGGTAACTATAAATAAGAGTTACTTTCATCCTGCTCATCAGCACTACACTGATGAGGCCCATTAGGCCGAAACGGTACCGTCTGTAGTTATATATATATATATATATATATATATATAAAATAAGTGCAACGACTCAACAAATTCCACAAGGTATCTTTATTACTATTAGTTTCGTACCACAAGATGTGCATGACACTCAACATGGCACTCAAGATGTGGCACTTTATTACTATTAGTTTCGTACCACAAGATGTGGTATATATATATATATATATATATATATATATATATATATATATATATATATATATATATATATATATATATATATATATATATATATATATATTTGTTGTTTGAGCTTTCCTTGAAGGGCGCTACAAATGTCTTTACTTATGTGCTTTATCGCCGTTTTTAAACTGTGAAATGCAGTGAGCGTGCGCATAAAGGCTTAGGCATAATGTGCATTATATAAAGTTCTGTAGTGTCCCACATCCACCACACTGTCTTCTATAGTATATATATTCTTGGTATGTGGAAGCTCATCATCGGTGCACTGTGCTGATGAGCCCCAAAAAGGGCGAAACAGCTGTCCACAGTTGCCGTTGTTTGAGCTTTCCTGAAGGGCGCTACAATGTCTTTACTTATGTGCTTTATCGCCGTTTTTAAACTGTGAAATGCAGTGAGCGTGCGCATAAAGGCTTAGGCATAATGTGTAGTATATAAAGTTCTGTAGTGTCCCACATCCACCACACTGTCTTCTATAGTATATATATATATATATATATATATATATATATATATATATATATATATATATATATATATATATATATATATATACAACACTCAACAGAGCCCCGCTAACTCAAACTCCCAGGGAAGCGAGTGAACGCGCGGTCGGTGTTGCACTGTTGCATTTCGTTTATCCCCGAGTCAACGATGCCGGAGCGAGGGTACTATAATTCCGCTGAGCTATTTACACCGGAGGAAAGGAAAGCATTAGGGAAGTCTAAAGTTGTGTCTTGGGGGGGGACCTTCTCACACTGATCTCAAGAATATGGCTGTTTGCCAGGAGTGCATGGGATAAGCAATATTTCAATTTTCAGAGACATTTATTTGGAACATCGTTATTGAAAATCCACGTC